TCCCCTTGGTTTACTGCCCTGTTCCTGATCCCCTCTGCCCTAACTTCCTGGCTATGGATTAGTTTTGGAAGGTCTAGGATCAGTCTAGTATTTCTGGGGGTTGCAGAGTCTACTGTGCCTCCAAGTGATAAGGGGAGCTTAATCAGGGTGAGGGCACAGTTAAATTAAACCAAGATGCTAAGTATTGCCTCAGGCCTACTGTGTGCAAGCCCATATGCAAGTCTTTGCCACTTGTGGCAGCTCATGGCTCAGGAAAAATTGATGAGAAATTTGTAATCCTTGGACTTTGACTCTTTGGAAAGGGTCAAGTTAGCAATACAAGAGGACTGATTTATTTAGCACATGATTTATTTAGTGTAAATTTCCATTGTGAACTGACTGAACAGCCCTAACATGGCAAGTGTTACTATCTCCATTTTCCTGAAGCTCAAGGAGGTGTCTGGCCTGAGGCTATGTGGCTCATGAGCAGCAGAACTGAAGTGCACGTAGCTCTAACTCCAAACCAGACCTAACGGATCAGGCCATGTTCTAGGGATTCCCAATGCTCTTCTACGGACTCCGTCCAAGAACAAATTGCAAGGAGACACCTGGAACCACCACCTCATCTGAAACTCTATTATCTTTTTAATTTGATTGCTGTTTTTCATCATTTCCACAGTCATGCTGATCATGCCATCCTTATCCTAGCTACCTGGTTGCCATGCTGAAGAAAAATGTTTTTGAATGCTTCTCTGTGTGGAGATCCTCATGCTTCTCTGTATGGAGATCCATCTGACCAAAGCCCAACCCCACGAACCTACAAGTTGTAGGAACCTTCTCTCTGACTCAGTCCAGACTGGTCCTCCTTTACCTGGGAAACAGCTAATCATTTTTCTTCTGTGCCACTCAAAACGTCCATTGGATGTGGGACCTACCTTCATGAACCATGAATTATAAAATCCAGGTTCGAAAAGGCCTTCAGCAGAATTGGAGGTTCTCATTCCCATTAGATCCTAGGAGTTGGCTTATAAAATACTGCCGTCACTATGTTTCAGAAATGGGCTTTGCCACTTTCCAGGCCTGGGCTGCAGAAATGTCTGGAGCTTTAATGGCCTTCTCTGTCCATTAAGGGAGCTGATAGGAGTGAAGTTTTATAAGGTAAATACCAAAAATGGGTCAGATTTTTGATGTCAAAATTCCACTAGGCCTTCAATAAAGGATGGGGTTGATCTATTAAGCAGATGTATTTTGAGGTAGTGAAACCAAGCAAAATAATAAGACCTTGTAAATTTAATGTTTATTCTAGGGATTGATCATTGAAAAGAGAAACATTTTTAGTGTGACTGGGTAATATGTTTTTCTGCTCTTATTTCTTTAGAGGCCAGGTTACTTTTCTGTTTTCCTTGGTGGTGATAATGCATTTTCCGCTCTTATGTTAGTTCATGAGAATAGATAAAGGGCCCTCGCCTTTTCTTTCTCTAGACTGACTTCTCTTTGATTCTGTTACTAAAAGGGCCACAGGGGAATGAAACAAACCTCCCAGCCATCCCTTATTATTTGTTTCAGCCCTGCCTGCTTAGTATTTGTTTCATCCTCCTCTACTAACATGAAAAATACTTGGCTTGTTCTGAGTATGTTACTAATAATCATCTTACCTGATAGAAGATTGGCTAAGAGAGTGAGTTGAGCTTGTCCATCTACCACCTTTCTAGTTCTTTAAGTGACAGGAAAAGTTGCAAAAAGAATAAGTCCTTTAATACAAGAAAAGATTCCATCATCAGGGAGCCAGAGATTTTGCTCCCAGAATAGGTTGTATTTTCAGAGAAAACACAGGGCAGGACATGTAAGTGCCAAACAACTTAAGGAACAAATCACTCTTAGAGGGCAGAGTGCTTTCAGTGATGCTCTAAGTTCATCAGAGCTTGGGAGCTGGTGAAACCTAAGTAGAATTGGGTGTAACCAGGGCTGGATTTGCCAAGAGTCTAAGACAGCGGGAGACAGGAAAGGGGGGGTGTATGTGCAAGGATTGTAGAGAATCCATGCACAGTGTGACAAGAGTGACAAGCTATGGCAACTAGTTTGAAAAGGGAGGGAACTGACAACGGGGTGTGCTCTGTCATCTGGGGGTCCCACTGGGGGTAAGAAACTGTTGCAGGTTGATAGTGGGCATGGTAGGGGTAGCCACAGACAGACAGTAAGATGCTTGGATGTGAAATGCCAGAGGTGATGCCGCATGACCCACGGGTCATGACAAGGTCCAGGATGGGGCTGCGAGAGTTGCTGTTTGCACAGGTGGACCTAGGGGAGAATATCACTGTTACAGTTGGGGTGCCAAGAACTCTGTCTTCCTGAACAAAGCAAAAAGGCCAAGAGAAATTAGACCTAACCAGACAAGAAAACCCCATAATCACTACCACTACAATAGAGCCATATACTGTTTAACAGGAATGCACCTAAAACAAAACAACCCAAGAACATGAAAAATAGTCTCTGGCCAATGGAAAGCCAAGCACAGGAATCTGGATGGCTGATAAAGGTAATGTCTCAGGGGAAAGGATTACATGAGAAAAAGAGGTAACATTTCTATTTGGTACAATTTAGTGCACACCCAGGATATGTGATCATGACGAATCATTATGTTCCTAACAGCGTAGACTTGAAATATATAACAAATCAAATTATTAAGAGAAACAGATAAACTCACAATCATGTTGGCAAACATTAGTTAAGTCAGATACTCTAATAAGTGTAATTCACAAATAGCGGTTAAAAGTATTCTTATTTTATTTATACAAAGACATTGTATATGTGTATATGATTTGTTCTTATCTTAGAATCTGTGAACATTTTTAAAAGCAGCTGCTTTGCAAGCAGCTAATACTCTAAGTTTCCATTAGCCATTAGAAGAAAATTCAAAAGTTTATTAACAGGTAGATGATTGTTCCATCACACCAAAGCTTAAGTCTTAAAACCTAAAAGTGAAAGAATAAAAGGTGCTTCAGAAATTTAATAGGATTCTGCCTCCAACTTTGATTCAATTCCCATTCACGTATAAGACATAAGCCTTCAGAGTCATTAAATTTCCATTTTAACTGGTTGCCGGCTGTAAGTTAATAAGCAGACTTATTTAGCTTCTCCCCCTCCATGCTCACACACAATGCTCGGAAGGTTCTTTTTCCTTGCCTGTGATTGCCATTCCATCCCAGATTCTCATTTCCTCATTTCCTGGTTTTTGACTAGCATAATTATGAAACAACAAAAAATATGCATCTTCTGTCTTTTTCTCATAGCCTTCATTCATGTTTCAGTCTATTTTGGGTTTTTCTCTCCACAATGTCTTCAATGTGCTTTATTTCCTGTTTTCATAAGCTTTATATAAATTAAGAAAAATGTGACCCAAGACATGGCCAGGTTAGAGGTTATTATTATTTTTTACTGTAGTATGGAATATGCTGACCTGCAGAGTATACATGGGCATGGCTATTTGCAGAGTTGTCTTTAGATAGCAGTGACTAGCAGTGATTTTCCAGAGCTCTGCACTGCTGACCTGGGAAGGCAGCTGGTGGGATGCACATGCAGACAATTAGCAGATATGCACCACATACCCTCTGATTTCCAAAGCAAAAAGTATGAAGTAGTTCTGCTCTCCTTCCATTAACCCCATTTCCTCATTTTTCATGTTTACAGAACTTCATAGTACTCAATAAAAAGCTTAAATCTTAAGTGTTTGGCACAATGAATTTTGACAAAATTTATACACTGATTAAAATATAAAACGATTTCATCATTCTAGAAAGTTGTCTTACCTCTTCCTAGTCAATTCCTATCCCACAACCCCTGACTCCAAGTAACCATTGACCTGCTTCCTGTCACTATAGATTAGTTTTCCAGGTTCAAGAACTGCATATAAATGGAATCATACATATGTGTTTTTTGTGTATGTGTCATCTCAGCATTTTTTTTGAGATTCATCTATGTTATGTATATCAGTACATAAAATACTATCATGTTGTTCAGTAGTATTCCATTGGACAGATATACCATAGTTTGCTTATCCATTTTGCTATTGATGGAAACCTGGGCTGTTTCCAATTTTGCTTTTCATGTATAAAGCTGCTATTTATGGACAGGTATATTTACGAATATATGCATTTGTTCCTATTAGCATGTATCTAGGAGTACTGTTGCTAAGTTATAGGGGTAGGTGAATATATAAATCTATCAGAGAGTGCCAATTTATTTTCTAAGTGATTATTCAACTATAAACATCCACCACCAGACAGGAGAGTTCTAGCTGCTCCATATCCTTGTCAACACCCAGTAGAGTTGGTTAATTTTAGCCATTCTGGTAAGTGTGTAGAGGTATCTCATGTGGTTTTGCTTTGCATTTCCCTGGTGACTAGTGATGTTGAACACCTTTTCATATATTTATTAAGTGTTGTAGTCCATTCGGGATGCTATAATGAGAATATTATAGTCTGGCTGGCTTGGCCACAAATACATATTTCTCATAGTTCTGAAGGCTGGGAGGACAGTGCCTGGTGAGCTGTAATCCGTGGCTTGTAGACAGCCATTTTTTTTTACTGTATCTTCATTTGTCAGAGAGAAAGAGTTCTCCTCTTGTGTCCCTTTTAATAAGGGCACTAACTCCATTCACTCCATCCTCATGACCTAATCACCTCCCAAAGGCCCCATCTCCCAATATTATTGCATTGGAGGATTTCAACATAGGAATTTTAGGAGGACACACACATTCCATCCATAACATTGAGCATTGGAATATTTTGTTTTTGTGAAGTCTTAAACCATTTTTTAACTGGATCATTTGTATTTTTAACATTTCATTTCCTTTGAAGAGTTTAAGTGATTAATAAGTTTTAATCAAGAGCCGGTTAGATGCCTGGATTGCCACAGACTTTCAGATTTAATATCTTAATCAGTACAACAAACTGATGTGATCAGTGTATTATTCCCATTTGGCAGCATAGGAAACTGAGCCTCAGACAAATTGAAATCCTCTCATACTTACCTGGCAGGGCAGATACCGTGATCACAAAGGTGGTTTTCCCAGGGCGTCATTTATCCATTGCACTCCGGAAGTGCTGACCCTGCGATTTGTCCAAATGTGGGAAACTCAACCGCACGATTTGTGGTAGTGGGGAACTGCGTTGTGCTTTTCCCTGGGGAAAAAAAAATCTTCCCTCCAAGTTGGAGGTTTCTGACTGGAAGTATAAGGTTTCCGGTATTTGATTTTACCAGATTTTTCCTTAAGAGAAAGGTAGGAGGGAAGACATTGCGGAAGAAAATTCACTATCTTCAAAACTGGTCTTGGCTTCTTAAAAGAACAATTAAAAAAAATTTGCAGTACCATTGTTAAATGATCTTACATTGGTTTCAAATATACAACACAGTGTTTCAACAGTTACCCATATTATTAAATCTTCACTCAGTCTAGTGCAGTTGCTATTTATCGATTTAGAAGGATGTATAGTATCATTGGCTCTATTCTCCTGCTGTACTACTGTCCTTGTGTTGAACTTATATTGTGACTGGTAATTATTATGCCTCTTAATCCCCTTCATCTTTCCCTCCCCCTTGGTAATCACTAGCCACTTCTCAATGTCTATGAGTCTACTGCTATTTTGTTCCTTGTTTTGCTGTTTTTATATTCCACAAATAAGTGAAATTGTATGGTATTTGTCTTTCTCTGCCTGCCTTATTTCACTGAGCATCTTATTTCACATAGCATCCATCTATGAGTCTAGAAAATATTACCCATGTTG